CCTAGGTTTAAACCTTTTTTATATATTGTAACATTCATAAATATGACGTCTGCCAAGAAAAATGAATTACAAAAGAAAATCTAAATATTGAGGTTGAAAAAATTTGTATTATTATATCACAGAAGTCCCAGAACAGGAGTAAAAAAATGCTGTGAAAATTTATCACAATTTTAAATACACTTTTTAAAGGAAAACCAGAATTTGGAGATATTTTGACTCTAGTCGTAAGATCCGTGTCACAGGATCCTTCAGAAATATACACTTTGTTTATCTGCTGTTTTTAAAATTGATATTAATGTTGAAAATGGTTGTGCTGCTAAACAATTTCATTTATTCAATTTTCTTCGGCTTAGTCCCTTATTTATCAGGAGTCGCCACAGCGAAATGAACCGCCAACTTATCCAGCATGTGTTTCACTCATTGGATGCCCTTCCAGCTGCAACCCCATACTGGGAAACACCCATACACTCTCCCATTCACACACACTCATACACTATGGTCAATTTAGTTTATTTAATTCACCTATAGCGCATGTTTTTGGATTGTGGGGAAAACCGAGGCAGCCGTAGGAAACCCACGCCAACATAGGAAGTACATGCCAACTCTACACAGAAACGCCAACTGGTCCAGCCTGGACTTGAACCAGCAATCTTCTTGCTGTGAGGCGACAGTGCAAACCCCTGAGCCACCGTGCTCAACATTTTGTGCAAACAAAATTACCAACCAAATTGGTACAACCAATCCCCAATTTGCGACAGTGGACCAAAAAAAACAAGTGAATCTGTGTACAAATTGCTAGACAGGGGCATAACATGAAAGGGCGTAACTTGTAGTTATCAAGATCCTGTTGAACCACAACGAGATGTTGTTGGAAAGATGGCGGAAAAACTTACCAGAGAACATTTTCATTAAATGTTTTCTTGAGTTTTCTCCAAATTTATCCACAACCATTTTGTTTGACATATTATTATATTCCTTCAATTAGCAGCTTCACTCACTCGCTGACTTCTTCATCTGTTTTGTAATGACAGTTAGCCTACTCGGCGTCGCCCCTGTGGTTGCAAATAAAAGTACACGGCGAGCGCATCAAGTATGAAAGTCTCCACACCTTGTGGCTGTATGTTTATAACTGTGAAGGTTGGGTTTAGGGTTTGGGAAGGTGTAGATGTTCATAACTATGATAGTTGAGTTTATGGTTTGGCAAGGTGTAGATGTCAATAACTTTGATGTTTGGGTTTGGGAAGGTATAGGCCAGGGCTGTCCAAGCTCAGACCTGGATGGCCGTTGTCCTTCATAGTTTAGTTCCAACTACCTTCAACATACCTGCCTGGAGGTTTAAGTAGTAGTAGAGTTTGATTAGCTAGTTCAGGTGTGTTTAATTGGGGTTGGAACTAAAATATGAAGGACACCGGCCCTCCAGGACTGAGTTTGGACACCAGGTATAGACATTATTAACTATGATAGTTGGGTTTAGGGTTTGGCAAGGTATAGACGTTAAAAACTGTGAAGTTTAGGGTTTGGGAAGGTTTAGATGTTAATAACTGATGGTTGGGTTAAGGGTTGGGCAAAATGTACACGGTAATAACTGTGATGTTTAGGTTTAGGGTTTGGGAAGGTTTAGACGTTAATAATTGATGGTTGGGTTTAGAGTTGGTGAAGGTGTACCCCTTAGTAACAATGATGGTTGGGTTAAGGAATTTGGTCGGTATAGACCAGGGGTGGGCAATCTCGGTCCTGGAGGGCCGGTGTCCTGCACAGTTTAGCTCCAACCCCATTCAAACAGACTTCCCTATAGAGTTCAAGTGATCTTGAAGACACTGATTAGTTTGTTCAGGTGTGTTTGACTAGTGTTGGAACAAAACTCTGCATGGACACCAGCCCTTGAGGATCAAGTTTGCCCATCACTGGTATAAACGTTAATAACTGTTATGGTTGGGTTTAGGGTTGTGGTAGGTGTAAATGTTAATAACTGATGGTTGGGTTTAGGTGTGGAGTAGGTGTAGACGTTAATAACTGTGATGGTTAGGTTAAGGGTAGTGGTATGTATAGACCAGGGGTGCCCAAACTCAGTCCTGGAGGGTTGGTGTCCTGCAAAGATTAGTTCCAACCCCAATCAGACACACCTGGGCTAACTAATCAAGTCCTTTCTTTCTAAAAACATCCGAGTAGGTGTGTTAAGGCAAGATGGAGCTAAAATCTGCAGGACACTGGCCCTCCAGGACCTAGTTTGGGCAACCCTGGTGTAGACGTTAATAACTGTGATGGTTGGATTTATGTGTGGAGTAGGTGTAGACTTTAATAACTGATGAACAGCACCATCTTGCCAACAACATAGTTTTGACATGTGGGTCTCCATGACTTCAAATTAAACTACAAAATTGACCCCTCTTCATGTTACGCCCCTTTATGTTACGTGTTTCAGTCTCTTCAAGTGTACTTGCAGTCGGCAGACAGACTCTACTTAAAAAACAGTTGCAGATATATGTTGGACAATAGATAAATGAGTCAAAATGATTTATTTTTCTTTTATGCCCAGAACTATAAAGAATTATATATAATCCCTCAAGCTGCTTGAAACCTTCCTCAATCTTTGCTAAAGCCCAGTCTATTAGCTCTGAAATTAACTTTTGACATTTGCACTGAAGGCTTTTGAGGTACAAAAGAAAACAGCCATGCAAAGATCATTTTCAGACAAAAATAAATCTGATATTAAATCATCAGTCCAAATAATTATTATAAAAAAAACACATAACCTGAGGAGAAAATGACCCTGACAAATGGCCTTTCGTCAGCGTTAGCTCATGTCTCCAAACAAACGTACAAATCACAAATTAGCACTTCCATTCTAAAGATGCCAGTAGAGGCTTTGGACTTACGTCACGTTTTGGCGACACTCACATATAAACAACACTGTGGATTGCACAGTTAATGCACAAATAACCTACATAATTCTGCATATTTAGAGAAAAAAAATATGTGGAAGTTGCTAAATCATATAGAGAAGAACTTAATAAGCATGACATGGTGCATTATTTTAACAAACTGAACTGAATAGGTAGCAAAATATACAGATACACGTAGTATTAATCAATAGGCTAATATTTGTCTTACTTAACAAAATGAAGCTTCTTGCTCTATAAATCCTGCTTCAGTTTGGCCAGCAACAAACAACTTTTGTTCCTCCGCTTATTCCTTTCTCTTCTGCTTGGTTTATTATAAATTTGGCAGTCTGTAGTACTCTAAATGTAGAAACTGCTTAGTACGGCCCAAATAACAATAATAAATGGTCATTTTCAGCAGCAATAATCAGCAAAATGTGTGTTTTGATCAGTTCAGTGGCATTGTTTACATTCTGCTCTCCAATATGGCCGACTGACTGTCAGGAAAACATGCTATAAAGTTTTAGTTGTGAAATATAGGGAGGTGTGACAGGGATTAATAACAAGATAACACAGGTGACTCAAAGATAGATTATAGCTTTGACGCTAACACTGCTAGTCTAAATTCTGCAGCGCCGTCATTAAAACAAGACTTCAAATGCAAGAGTTACATAAAAAGCAGTGTGAGATGAGGTAAGTGGAAACATGCAGCCAATCTAGCATTGTTTTCCACCAACACACAGAGAGCACACTTCACTGGAAGCTAAGTACACACGTCCGTCTCCCTATTTGCCCAGTTTCCCTGAGCTAAGTTTGCGTCTGACCCGCTACCACATTCTGACAAAACAGTTTTTGTTTGAGCCTCTTTAAGAAGAAAAAAAAAAAGCAATCCAGTTTCAACACATGTTTGCGCTATTTCTTTCCGCTGCCTTGTTAAAGCAGGCCGAGCGTCACGGGTGTGAATGATGCTGTCCCGCTGTTACTTTTCCAGCGCAAATAAATAAAGCGAAGAATATATAAACACCTGAAAGTCATCAGTCCACGGGAAAAAACGTAGCAACATGCGTAATCAATCTGAATTGAGATGTTAATGCTAAAGCGTATGCTAATGAAAACCCACAAACTTCTGTTTTTTTTAGCATGAATCCACAAACTAAGTGCTTGTGTGTAGTGTGAGCTCATTGCGAATGTTATGAATATCCCTGTTCTTCGTCGTTTGCATGACCAAAGATGACGAAGCTTTTTTTTTTCCCCCTCAAAGCTGGCTGTTTGTTTGTGGTAATGGGAAACAGGTTAAGATGGAAAGCAACTAGTTTGATCAGGATTGGTAAACGAGGCTGTATTTCTTCCTCAGCCCCCAGCACCTCCTCCTCCAAGCCCAGGAGACAACATTTTCTCAGAAGCACAGGCGCCTCCTGTGTAACGAGAGGTCGTTTAACAAGAATTCACATTTATGAGTAAACTCTGGTACCCTCGTGTCTCGGGACGTCTGTTTAGAAAGACCTCCATAGCGTTGTGCTTTCAGAGATTTTTAGCATCCATCACGCATCCTCATCTTTGAGCAGAATGAAATAAAAAGTATTTAAAGGAGTTTATGAAGCCAAGACCTATAAATAAGAAGACAGGGAGGCTCAGTGGTTAGCACTGTTGCCTTACAGTAAGAAGGTCGCTGATTTGAGTCCTGGCTGTGCCAGTTGGCATTTCTGTGTGGAGTTTGCATGTTCTCCCCGTGTTGACGTGGGTTTCCTCCGAGTGCTCTGGCTTTTGGATTAACTAAATTGGCCGTGTATGGCTGGTTTATATAACTTCTTCGAGTGATCGGCGTGATCCACGGCGCCTACCTTGCGTAGTCGTGCGTTTATAGTTCTGCGTGCTGTTTGTGTTGCTCTGCAATAAAATTTCCAAAATGCAAACTGGCAATAGGTTGTTATGCTCCTTTGTATTGAGGTTCCCCACATGGAAAAAACCTACAGTATATAAACATATGTTTTGATATAGATTTTTATTATATGTGACATACTGTATATAAAACTGTCCGCTTTGCTATATTATATGTATATATAGCAAAACAGCCAATTTTATATGACAGGAAGCATTCTGGGTTTTAAAAGGATCTAATAGATTATTATTATTTTTTTTTTTTGTAATTCAACATTGTGATGCGCTCCTACATATGAAAATGTAGTGATTAAACTCTGGTACCCTCGTGTCCTGAGACATCTGTTCAGAAAGACCTCCATAGTATTGTGCTTTCAGAGATTTTTAGCATCCATCCTCATCTTTGAGCAGAATAAAAAAAAAAAATATTTGAAGGAGGTTCTGGAGCCAAAACTACAAATAAGAAAGAGAAAACTGTAAGTTTCATCCGGTGGAACAAGACTTAATTTCATAATAAAGACTTGTTATTCTTATAATGACATGCAAAACTAGACAGTAAGGATTCTGGGTTGTAAAAGGATTGAATACATGTTTTTGTGTAATTCAATATTGTGATGCGCTACTTCATATGAAAATGTAGTGAGTTAACTCTGGTACCCTCGTGTCCTGAGACGTCTGTTCAGAAAGACCTCCATAGTGTTAAGCTTTCAGAGAATTTAGCATTCAATCACACATCCTCATCTTAGTGCAGAATAATAAAAAACTGATTTGAAGGAGATTCGGGAGCCAAAACCTATGAATAAAAAAGAGGAAAAAAAAGAGGCATTTTGTAAAACTTATTACCAAAATGTAAATCTTACCTGGTGGAACAAGACTTGTGCAGATTTACATGTTAAAGGCATTTTAGGCTTATCATGACATGCAAAACTAAGCAGAAAGCATTCTGGGTTGTAAAAAGATCTGATTGATTGGATTTTTTTTTTGTAATTCAACATTATGATTCACTACTTCATATGAAAATGTAATGGTAAAATGGTGTTTTTTTGAATCGTCATATTTGCAAATTGCCACATTGAGTACGTTTACATGGACACCAACAATAAGATTTAAATGTGATTAAGACAATACTCTGATTAAGAGTTAACCATGTAAACGGTTTTTTTTTATTATTAATTTAATCAGTTTAGGGTAATAATCAAACTAAGGAGAAATTGAATTAAGACACGTGGAGTACGCTAATTTTAGTCGCATTATTGAAGTGCAGTACAGACATGTAAACACCTTAATCAAACTATTACCATCATGATAGGACTTTTTGCCGCGTTTTGCGACAGAATAGTACACACACACACACACACACACACACACACACACACACACACACACACACACGCACACACACACACACACAAACACACGCATACACGGCTGTTTTACACTCTCTGCACCTACCAGGTCAGTGCAGACCACAGACTCCTACACTGTATTATGCAGAGTTTTTTTCCATCCATTGAACTTCCATTAAAAACACTCTTCCAGCAGTTCATAGTTGCATCCAGTAACTTGTTTGTCACAGGGGCATGCAGGAAATGATTCTGAATGAAAGTGAAAGTGCCAAACTGTAGTTAAAGTTGACAAATTAAAAATTAAACACCCGAAATTACATGAAACTCTGGAGGAAATGTGAATAGCGCGGTGACGCGATGACATTAAACAAATTATGTGCTATACCATGTAAAACGGGATTATGAAGGAAACATTCAAAAGGCAACTCATGTAAACACCTTAATCTTATTATTGTCTTAATTAGATTAAGGCAAGCAATCCGATTACTGATGTCCATGTAAACGTAAGATTTCCCAAGTGCTGTTTAATGGAGAAAATATTTTACTCAATGCTAAATGCTTGTGTTCAGCTTAAAGTGCAATTTAAAAGCTTAACTTGGTTAATTAGACAAGTAAAGTTGATTAGGCAAGTCATTAAGAACAGGGGTTTCTTCTGTAACCAATTGAAAATATATATTCCTGGATCTTTGATGCATTTGTAATCTTTTTTTTAAGATAAAATGCACTGCACTTCTAAAAAAAAAAAAAAAAAAAAAAAAAAACATTCATTTTGCTCTGAATTGGTCCATTTGTTAAAGGGTCACGAAACACCAAAACACATTTTTTTTAACTGTTGACTGATATATGCGTCCCACGCTGCTAAAAACATTATTAGGACACATTTATTTCATTAAAAAAAGTGAAAATTGGTTGATTTTGCATTATTTCGAGCAAATTCGTTCTTCCGGTTTGAAAGCTGAATTTTTGAAGCTGCGTCACGCTGATTAGATCCTTGTGTGTATTCCAGTGTGGAGACTGGCTGTCTGTACTTGGGAGAGCATCGTGACGCTTCTGAGTGTGCTGCATTCATTTATGAGAAAGACTTGGTTCAAAACAATCAGTGCGCTCTATTGGGTATGCGGTGCAACTCCATTAATATGCATGATAGCTTCGTAGACTTTTACCTGTTACAATGTTCAGACGGCAGAGAGACGTCATGTTGTGTTGCCAAAACAAGTGGAAGAAGAAGAATTGTTTGGAAACGTTTATAAATGTGCTGCAACGAAGGTTTTGTTTTCATTTCCCCACTATGAGAGCACAGCTGGACTCACATGTGGACTACAGTGCATGGCAGAAATACATTTGTAAGGAACACTTTTAGCTGAGAGCTTTTCTCATTGGGAAATGGTGAAATCCCGATTTGCTGCTCGTCTCCTTTTAAAATAGACGCAACTCCAGTTGGTGTTGATTGTCCTGTCTCTACAGATTTGGTGAGTAAGCGATCAGTGGTCTTTGTTTGTTTATTCAGAGGCAAAAGTTTTTGTATCGGCAGCAGTACTCTTATAGTGTTTAAAGACAGACCTTAGTCAAAGTGATTTAGTTACTAAGTTTACAGTACGTTAACATCACTACAATATTATGGACTGAAAGATCTGCTGTAAATGCTGCTCTCCGTGTGTAAACATGTGAACACAATTGCAATCAATCTATTACCATTATGTAGGATTTTCACCACATTTTGTGACAGGATAGTCTATACACACAGCTTTCTGATGCTATCTACAGAGTGCATCTAAGCAGGCCCAGATTGGCTAATCGGGAGGACCGGGAGAATTCCCGGTGGGCCGGTCCGTTTTTTGGACGCGAGGGCCGGTATCCCTAGCTCCAGAATCTGTTGCTCTCAGCAGCCAAAATGTATTTATTTACTTGACCACAGCGTAACCCTTTAATCTTCCTTCATTTTTCAACAAAAAAGACTATTTTAACTTCTGTTCAATGGTGACTTTAAGGTAAGTGTTTCATCCCAAGATAGCACGTTCTTCATATATTTATGTTTTACTTGTAGGGTCACTAAAAGCAATTTTGGAGCAAATGCCCTTTCACTTTAAGCGATTACTGTACATTTTTACAATATTTAAGATTTTAGGGCTTTTATTTCATGCATTTTAAAATGCAAGAAAAAAAAACTCTTTGTCTGTGATCTTGTGTCTTCTGTATAACAGGGCTTACAGAAAACTTGTTGGTTATTGTTGAAAATCCTTCACTCACCCTCACATCGTTCAAAAACAGTGTTTTACTTTCCCCTGTGTACAATAAGAGAAGTTATTTCAAGACAAATCTCAGTGGTTTTACCTCCATGCGGAGATAGCAGTCAGCAGGCCGCAATGTCGTTCTCTTGCCAGTGTTCTTCAAAATATCGTCATTTGTGCTTGCATGAGGGAAGTAAAATGATGTCAGAGCTTTCATTTCCACTCTGTTTGTCAATGGAGAATCAGAGAAGTTGAAACAGTTTTAATTAAATCTGGAAAACTTTCATTGCGCCCCAGAAGAAAACAACAGAAAGATGCTGTAATAGTGGAGTTATACAGCGTAATTGAATTGTCGACTGAACTTTCCTAATGCACGGATTTTAATTGCCTTTTTATTGCAGCACTGGATGTGGATCCAGACCCCTGCGGATTCTTTTGTGGTTTTGGAGTTGCGAGATTGCGCAAGATGTTCCTCGAGAGCACCAGAAAGTTCTGGGCTCTAATGAGAAGCAGTAAAGAGCCTCTCGTCATAAATGTTTTCAGCACTGTGGATCTGCCGCTTCATGCTTTTCCCTAAACGTCCTCTGCTGTGGTCCATCAACAACGCAGTGACTTTTCAACTTATGATCATTACCTAACAGCTCCACTTAGGACTAAACATTATCTAATCTAAAGGAAATGGAAGTAAGAGCGATGAGATAATGTTACAGTCAGTTGTAAAGATACAGCGGCCTCTTTGTGTTTGTTTTTCTTCGGGCTTCTCTCCACCGTGAAAGAGTTGCTTAGAGAAAGCTTTTCTGTAATGCTAACAGGCTTATGATGGTATCAGATTTTCTTGTCGTTATTAATTGCTTTATCACAGTATTCGGTATTAGCACAATATTGACCCAAGCTACAAAAAAGTTCATCTAAAGGAGCTCAACACTTTTTTTTTTTTTTTTGAAACAGGCTCCGTTTAGAAGTAAAAAAATTACATTTTGAACCAACTTTTTAAAAAATTGCTGTAATTTGTTAAAGCTACATTTACTTGTTTTTCTCAAAGAATAAGTTAACTTTGGTTTAAACTAATGTAATGTAATCTAAATCAAAAATATTTATTCTCCCAAAGGAATAAAAATACAGTGACTCAAAGGTAAAATATTGTTTTCATAGACCATAATTAATAAATTGAATTAATTTGGGTTAATTTAAAATAAGCAAACTAAATTATGGACTAAACTATAATAAATACATTTACACTACCTGACAAAAGTCTTGTCGCCTATGCAAGTTTTAGGAACAACAAATAATAGCTTGACTTCTAGTTGATCATTTGGTTTCAGAAGTGGCTTATATGAAAGACAAAGACCTCTAGATTATGTTTAATTTAGCAAAATAAAACATGGCCATGCCTTGTTTTTTAAATATTTAATTAGGAAAGTAAGATCTGACTTTGCTTGGACAAAAGTCTTGTCACTCAACAGATGTAATGTACAGTATAGAATATAAAATCATGGTGCAGTGGAAAATAAAATGCTCTAAAAAATCCCCCTAAATGCTTAAATAGTAAACAAATATTCACAGTATCTTGAAGTGCTCATGATATTAAAATTGTGCGTGTTCATTAAAACAATATATTGAGTTATTTGTATATGTGTAAAATTATGACTAACAAGCATATAACATACTGCCTTTTCAAACCCCCCCAAAAAGCAACTTACGAAACAAGGATAGCCCTAATTGCAGCCAAAGGGAGATTAGTTCACTTCTGAGGAAATCTGTCCCCTAAAGTATTGCTAAATATAGAGGTTATTGGACTAAAAAAGCCCTTAACCTCCAGCATAAACAAGCCTCGGCATGCTAGGAGAACTGACACGCTGAAGATGTTTTGTTTGTTGCCACTAGAGGACACTGATCCAACAAAGTGTTCACTTACAAAGCAAATACCCACCTCTGTGTCTCTGTGGAGGATTGGTGAGAATATAGGTGCCGGAGAAGCGTGTGTGGAGAGGTGCGAGGGTAAACTTAGCCTTCCAGAGATGTTTACTCATCCAGATCCATGTGGGAGAAGCGCTGGAGGACCTAACTCCTCTTAGAAGACCCATGGGAAAGAGAGGAGAGCCAGAATAGTACCTACATAAAACACACGCACACACACACACGCAGTATATCTGTCTGCAGGGGAGATGTTTGATTAAATGAACCCAGAACGGCCAACGTGTTGCCGGGCGGATCG